AAGTAGGGCACAGACGGATAAAACACTCGGTCTGGTTAGGTTATCCACTGTCGTCCTTAAAGAATATGCTGGTTACTTGGTACAAACCCTATCCTTGTACATTGAGCTTAAAGCAAAGAGTGATGGTCGAGTGTTGGCGTAAAGCTACCATGAAGCAGGCTTTAAAGGAACAAGCAAATGTCGGTGCAGTGTTTTAACCTCGAAGACTTTGAAGGTCTTTGACAGATTTTTTCTCGGGAGGACTTTGGTCCAAACACATTCGTGTGATCCTTAACATTTTGCGAACCACAGTCCAACATTTAGCTTACGTGTGATAGCTTGCCCTGCGTGCTTGCTTCGTCCGTCCCTGGATGACACACAAATCCACACGTAACCGTTTTCATGACTTTAGCGGTTCCATCGCTTGTGTCAACTGTGAATCACTGTTGAGCGACCTGCTCGATCCTGTAAATCTGTGGGTTGTGGCGCTTCTCTAGAGAGATAATTGTAGCAGTTTACTTGGCTTCGGAGAAAACTTTATGTCTCCCTCAACAAATTCCGGTGTTAATCAGGGGGCTGCTCTATTTCAGTTAATGATTCGCACATACATTAGTTCATTTCCTGTAAAGAACGAAATAATCTCGCCGAAGCATGTTGATGACGTTGCTCTAGGTATCCATCAGCTGACCACGCATTCATTCGCCAAACAAAGAACCTTCCTAGACAACTTCACAGTTTGTCTCATATCTTGTTACCCGCTTCCCCACTGAATGCTACAAAACTCGAACTTGTTCACCACTTAGCACTTACAAGCAACAGTTTTCAACAATTGACTACGCATGGTCCACAACTTTTCATCGATGGTGAAAGTCTAAACTCTTCCATTTTCGGTGGAATACCTAGGAGTGACAGTGATTCATACGACCAAGGTGGTCCCCTCAAGTGAACGAATTATTCATTAAAATAAAGAAATATCTGATACACTTTCCTAATCGCATACTGTTCCAGCTACCAAGCAGAAAATCGTCTGTGCAACTTCCAAAAGTCAGGGACCTCGAGCACACTATTAAGTTAACTTTAAGATAAGACGCAGAAATGAACCAACAAACTAGTTGTAGCAGTTGACCAGGGCAGTTAAAAAGATTTGAAGGTACACTTGTAGTCGAACCAGGTGTTGTAGCTACTTCACATCACCGTTCGTACATCAGTGAGTAACCTATGACCCATAGCATTCCGGTGCTGTTCGGTAGTTCTTGAGCTTTTTCCTAGACAACTTTGTTCTTAGGTTCTCAGTTTAGCTCTGCCCTTCTATCGCTTTGCTTAATTCCACAGTTTGGCATTGGGTGTTTTTTCCCCGCTGGACATACTTCCCCATGAGCTTTTTTGGTCTGTTGGGTAGAGACTCCTACATGAGCGTCAGATTATTAAAACACCTAGAAAGTCTAACCGCATTCTAAAACTGGATTCCGCTGCTCTCTTTGTGACCAATTTGGTTGAGACCTACAGAAATCTTGGATTCCAAACTGCTCATTGATGATACTCACTCCGAGGTAGGCCACCGCCTAAGCGTATAGCATTTCACTTGTCTTTTGGTCACATTTTTTCATGGATCGGAATTCAAGCAATCAAAATCTGACGGACAAGTTTTTAAAAACCGCTGTTCAATATCTACCGCGGGTAACGTAGCATTTGCCGGCTATCTCTATTAGTGACGTGTTTGGTATTGTTGAACGGAAGCATACATCTCACTCTTACTTGTCTTGAAATAACAGGTAATGTGAGGTCAGCAATCTTAAAAGGCATTCTGAAGCAGACGTTGCATAGAAACAGGGAAAATGAACGAATAATCTCATGGAATGTATGGTATCAGCACCATTTAATTATCGGTATTCAAATGATCCATTTTCCCTAACGTCCTAAACGACTGTCTGGTAAAAGCCTGGGAAGTACCTATTGTCATGCGCGAACCAAACAATAATAACACCGTGCAACATCATTTTTACATCAGAAATGAGAGGGGATGTTTGTAATAGTACCAGGTGAGCTGAATACGAATACGTAAACCAAAGGTTTCTATTCCCTCGGGTTTTTCTTATTTTCCAGTTTTCCTTTCAGACAAACAGTGCGTTCCATACCTCCAGTACTCGCCTGGATTGGTCCAAAGGATCCCTGTAATTTTGGAAAAATAATCCTCTTGGCCATGATATCTACCTGATACTGAAAGTGGATTGAGTGCTGTGTTTCCTTAATTGATATCTTGATCATGGCTGAAAGACGCTGCTGTGTCAATGACCAAAATCTTCTTTTACTTCTATGGACAGTTTATCACAAAGTCACAGTGCAGACCCATTTCTTCACTACTGACGTCTGCCTATCACGCATATTTCGGGATGAAACTGGGAGATCAGGATAAGAAGTGCGCGCCGCATAGTGTTTCTGTGTCGTACAATCTTCATCTGACTCAGTGGCTCAAGGGCACACGCGTGCTGTCTTTTGCAATCCCCATGATTTGAAGAGAGCCGAAGGAGCACACGATAGAGTGCTACTTCTGCCTAACTAGTGTCATTAGGATCTTCAACCGAAAAAGAGACAAATTTCATTACCCAGATCTGCCATCAGCTATTCGACCTGTTTCTCATGATTGCACCTTACCCATTCCAGTGCCTCCAGTGAACATGTCACTGATGATGAGTAGTGATTCCGCATCGTCAACTTCCCCTGATTCTGACATCTGTGAAAACTTTGAAGCTGATGTTGTCAACCCACATTTTATTGAACAATCAGAGCTGAATGACTTGGTACGTGAATTTGGCTTGCCTAAGGACAGGGTCGGGTTGCTGACATCTCGGCTGAAGCAGTGGCATTTACTTGCTGCAGACACTAAGTTTAGGGTAAACAGAAGGCGAAGAATCAAATTCTCCAGTTTCTATGACACAACTTAAACGTTTTCTTACTGTTCCGACCTGGGACGTATGTTGATGGAACTTGGCATGAGGCAGATCAGGGATGAATGGCGTTTGTTCCTTGACTCGTTCAAGAGTAATCTTAAGGCCATACTGCTCCACAATGTAATTGTGTACCTAACTATGCCTCTGTTGCATGCCACCAATATGAAGGAGATTAACGAATGTATGCAACAGCTATTCGCTGCACTGAACTACGAGAAGTACTGTTGGAACAACGGTGTTGACTTCAAAATCATTGGACTCCTAGTGGGTATGCAAGGAGGCTTCACAAGCACGCCGCGTGTTCGCTAAATTCAACTTTGAATTGTTTTCCGCTGTGCCAAGCGTTGCTCGCGGATCTCAGTACCATGGTGTTTTATGGAATCAAATGTGAACTGCTAGGCTCTGATTTCCACCCCAACTCAGACTATCTCCACCTGCTGAGTACAAACCAGGACGAAAGAGCGATCGTGGTGTGCCACTGTTGGGAGGAGCAACACCCAAATATTTCCATTCTGGATACGGTCCTCACGATCGGAATGACCCAGATTTACTTCAAAGTTAACTGAGGTCTCAATAGAGGTTGCGAGTCGCAACTCAACCACACAACGTGTTCGCTAAATTCTACTTTGACAAAATTTGTTTCTTGTGCTTATGAGACAGTAAAGCAACTCAACAGCCCTACAAAGCGGAAAAGTGGCCAGAGTGGACGAAGTACGTTGCAGGGAAAATAAGTGTAAAGCATACACCTCTTGTGCAACCTGATCATATCTACCAAGCCTGCGCATCAAGCTTGGTTTGATTAAAATTTTCGTCAAAGGCTTTAAGCGAGATGGTTTTGCATTCCAGTACCTGAAACAAGCACTTCGGAAGATCAGTGATGCGAAGCTCAAATAGGGGATACATATTGGGCCTGATATTCGCCGGATAATAGCACACAGTGTTTTCAAATGTCAGTTGACTTTATTTGAGTTAGCGCGTGGCGATCATACAAGCTAATGTGTACTGGATTTTTGGACAGCACAAAAACAAAGAACTACAAAGACATGAAAAAAAGCTCATTGCAATGTACCGAGCTGTTGATGCTCAAATGTCACTCAAGATGCACTTCTCACATAATCACCTTGACTTGTTCCCTGAGAACTTGGGATCTGCTAGCGATGAGCAGAGTGAGCGCTTTCACCAAGACATTTCAGTCATGGAGCAGCGCTACAGTTGCAAGTACACGCCTTCTAGGATGAGTCACTTTTGCTGGCTTCTGCAGTTTGAGGGCGCTGGATCACACAAGCGGTGATCTCGGCGAAGTTATCATTTTCCAGTACCAAAGCTGCAGTCAGTAGTTAGCGGCGTGTGTTGTAGTGAGGCTTTAAAAGTATAAGCCACATAGACGCATTCTGTATATGTTCCGATTCGGTACATTTACATATAATTCATACGGCTTAGCTTTGACATTACTGAAAAATATCATTTGCTCGAAAACCGTGTAACCTGATGTGCTAGGTCACATGGGAATACATTTCTATGAGTAGCAGAGTATATTCTATAAGGTAGGGACACCGGCATTTCTGTTATAGGAAATCACTTTTAGTTGCAAAGTGTAAGTGAACATGACATAGCCAGAGGTAGCAAAAACGTGACGTGAATCCTTGATTGATGGATTGCTGTAATATCAAGCAGATTCATCATGCCAATCTTGATTTTTATGCTCATGTGATTTGTTGCTGTTGTTGTTAGTTAGTTGTGCAGGGATCTGGACTCACTGAGAAGCACATCTCTCGATTTAACGAGAAGTGCATAATTGTCTGACATTCTACTCTCTAGTAACCACTTCTACGTAGGTGTACCTCTACCGGCCATTCTAAGTCTATGCGCTTCATAGTGATGTCGGAAGAGTCACAGAGTGTGTTGGTTAAACAGCAAAGCTGCGATGGATACTAGTGTTTGCAATGAAGGACGGCGTGCGCAGCTTCCCGAGGAAACGAAACCATTCGGTGCAAGGGGAAAAAATAAACTCGATACAACTCACCTACAACTTCGCTTTAAATAACAAAGTTAATAATTGCAAATATGACTTACATTAAAAGGTCTGCATTGACTAATGTTCACCTCCAGTACACCTTGGTTTTGAGGCATCTCCCTCATGTAGGAGATGGTGGCCAGCGTTTCCAAACCCCTCAAAGATATCCGCTTCCTACAGATCAAAATCTCCGTGGTTGTGTCCCCGTGCATCAAGCGTTTAAATCCCTATAATAAGATCGGGCGTTATGGATTAGTGTAAAAAAAGTTACAGCGGTAGTTCTGATGATTTGATACTATACAGCCATAAAGATGCTATTTATGATGTATAAAAACAGAGGATAAAGGGGACTTGAGTAAAGCATGCTTGCTTTAGGGTACCCGCGCCCCGGCAACAACACGGGACAGAAACCGATGGCTGTTGTGTAAGAATGAGGCTGGATGAGCGAGGTGCCTCCTTAGTGATGCTCAGTATCCGGCAATTCGGTAAGATGAAGGTTTTCAGTCCATCATTGGTACCGGCCGCGTGTCAATTCCCATAAGGGCTGGAGCTAATAAGAGAGTGATTCACGTGAATTTCATCTTGGAAGGTGACACAGATTAACTGCATCACACCTAGAGCTAGGCCACCTAACTACCCGCGGCAATCTCAACGACAAGTCCTCGAAATCCCTACGTCTTACAGTGTTTGATTAGTAAAGCAAGCCTCTTCTTGGCATGCATTGTGTGTACACGTGCCACAACCAACACGGTCCTTTCGGTATAGAGAAGTAGACTAATCACTGCTGTATTTAACAGACAGTGGTTTGCTAATAAAGATAAAGCAAGCAATGAATTGAAATATACAAAAAGCAAAACATTGGGAAACAGTTAAACGGTTTATTCAGTGAATGTTAGTAATCGTCAAATGCACGGCTCAAATCTGCCTCTTTAGCCTTTTTGGTGACAACAGCGGCATGATGGGAACCGTCCCATCTTTAGGAGTATAAGTGATTTTTGTAGTGCATGAATTAGACGTTAAAGCGATGATCGATGAAGCGTAGCTTATTCTTAAGAGCCGGTAGCAAACAGTTTACTTTAAAAGTTGAAAACCTAGCTTTTTACTAGCTCTTCAACTGCGGATACAACAAGCCGGCGATTTAAGGAGAGATGTGAGGGTATAAGGATATTGGTCTGCGAACCTTATGGTGATCGTATCTGTTGCATCCTGGTTGCCTCCCTTGATCTCACAGATGCTACACAGTAGCGATATCAGTCAAATTGAACCGCCAGTGCTCACATATAATAGCACCTATCGAACGGATCTGGTTTGGCCACACGGGAACTGAGGGATACAGGCTATTAAGTCAAAAGAGATAAAAAATACACAAACGCAGATAATGGCGCAATGCTCAAGGTGCCAGTCCTGCAAAAGGAATTACTATCGGACAGCACTATTTGGGAGGAGAAAGTGCGACGAGAACTGTTCAATGAGGACAAAAAAGACCGTGTGCTAAATGGGTTACAAAAGCAGAATCCCAGTGCGCTCCTTGACGTTTCTGGAGTCTTCCCTACGTCATATGAAAACAGTGTACCACTTGATTGAATAGGTGTGCTGGTTTTGCGCTCTACATTCGATTGCTGTCACTGCTGACCTTGCATCAGTTGACGTAACACAACGCAGCCGTAATTGAACGCCGCTTGGGCTACTAGATGGCATGTTTGAGAAGGATAATTATCTTGTGAAACCCTATAGCGTCCGGAGTAATCTCGAGCTCAAAGCACCAGTCAGCAGCCCTTTATCGGATTAAGAAAACCGTTCGAATGCCTAAAATAAGAAGAATGCTTCGACTGGTGAGACATAGCCACTTGCTTGAACCTACAGTAGGGGGACTGAAAATAGGCGGATAAGGTGGCTGACACGTAACTGTTTACGCTCATTGTGGACACATTTCAAGTTCCTCCTCAGTGGGACATTTTCGGGCAAGGTTCTTCCCAACACTATGACATCATTGGAAAATTTAAGCAGGATGTTCCCTTCACTGCATATGTCCATATTGTTGGTAATTGGTACCACCAACTGCAAACGTGATCCCGAGTCTAGAAGACATATGGGATCCGCGAAACGCGTTGGGCCTTGTGTTCCCTTGGCTACTTTTGCGCTGTAAAATTTATTCGCCTTCTGATGCTCAATATTCCAATGCGGTGGAGATGGTTGCCTTCATGCTAAACATTATACGGCATTCGATCGAGTGCTGACCAGACTATATCTGTTACGGGGCTCGCGTGGAAATATGGGGGCTTAGAGGCCAAACGACCATAGCCCAGTTGATTTATTGAGTAGGCGATCGGAGATAATCCAGCTAACGGGATAAGGTGTAGCCAGTGTAAAGAATTGGAACACGTCATCATTTTAGCTGCGGTCCAGCATCAATACAGGTCGACCAATTACTGCTTTGTTTGTTTGCCTGTCGGATCTCTGCTCAACAAATCGAGCGCTCTTGAACACTACTGTCATGGGACGGATATCGCAGATGATTCGGAAAGCTGGTCGAATTGTGATCCATCGCCCCATTGAATGTAACCTTAATCGCTAAGACCTTCACATGTTTTCATCCCATTTAGCTGGTATTCACGTATTTGTGCAATACTGTTCGTCTGTTTAGCTCGTTTTCTCCGTATTCTAAGACAAAAATAGCAACATCCACTGTTTAAACTTACGACGCACATACACTACTCACTAGCAATGTATTTCAATTCACCAAGATTATGGCACATTTATTGTCTGATGAAAGTAGTCCAGGCGTATCAACGTATGCGGAGTGCAAACAGGCCCCTAAACATCTTAAATCCAAATGCGATTCTCCGATTTCTCCGGTTGCCAACCTGTGAACTCAAAGTGCAATTTTTAACTTTCTAGTATGCGATGCTCAATATCAGACCGGTATATCGTATTAGTTACTATGCATGTAACGCATTCGGATCTCCGAAACTGCATACGATCCAGTGACACTCTCAGTGTTGCTCTTCGAGCATGGCAAGAATCATCAAAGTGGTCGCTACGATTCAGCCATGTCGTTCAATCATTGTCCAAGGGACCGACTCCAACAAGAACAAGGTTCTTCCTCATGACTGGTACAGAAAGTTCAGGCTGATATTATTAGCTAAGTTACTAGATATTTTCACGATATAATAACTATTTTTAGTGAAGCTAGTTTCGTCGGAAAACCTATACCTCACCGAATTACCCTAAGAGCCAGTTCTGTCTGTAGATGAGGATGATACTACTGAACAATGCTGGTGGAAGCCGTGGGGTCTGTCCACATCCGCTACTTTGGCGTTCTTAACTGATCTGTGTTGAGCACCTCAGTCTGTACAGACTCACACCATTCGTGGTTGGATATAGCCGGAAACCCCCCGGTCTCTCGCGTCCCTTCATGTAACTCAAAGATCTAAAAGGCGCATGTGATGGCATCGGAGGAAAACGTGAAAATCGTGATACTTACTTGCACCTTCAGTACCACAAATCGGGTATGAAACCAGTGGGCGGTGTTTACTTGAAAAAGCATGTCTGCATGGCCACGTGACACGTTGTCAAACACACCGAACTCCTCGGTCTCTAGATGCTGCGCTTCCTCTCCAGAAGGAAAGTGCAGTTCAACTCGCACAAATGTGGTCACGTCGGATACCTTCCCTGGAGACTCACAGTCGGTGACGATCCAGTCAATTTGCACTTGAAGCTGGTCGTCTCGGAGGTGCAGGTTTTTATTTAACCGGGGTAATCGAACGGTGTGAAATTTATGTATTGGCTGTACGTCGCGCTTTCTGAGCGTATTGATTGCGGATCGCATTGTGGAAACCAATGAGTCCAGCTCTTCCGCCACTTGGAAACAACCTGTTCGCTTTTGCAATTGGGCCGACGCAAGGGCGTCCTCTGCTTGGACGGAGAGAATTTCACGAAGGAGAGCTCTGCGCTGTTCGTTAGCTAGAAATAAACAACCGGTACTTGAAGTCAACTTGAGAAATCACTTCGCTGTCATGGTCTTGAGAACAGATAATGGCATTTTGAAAATTCAAGCATAAAAGACAAATAATCGTGAATTGGACACTAGGAAAAGAATACTCCACTCTCCTTTTGGGGCGGTCATCAGCGATTTGTACTTTACTGACACAGCAGAAAGATGTACGGTTATATACGCTAGGCGAATAAGGGCAAAACCATGGCGAGTGGAATACCTCGTTCGGCAGCTATAACCATAGTCCCCCTCAAAGCCAGTGAGA